GGCGGGGAAGAAGAACAAACTGGGGAGGAGGGTAGAGAAAACGGTGCAGTAATGAAGGAATGAAAACCCAAAATCCCTGTAAATGTTCATTAAAACTAATAAAATTAAAAAAAAAAAAGTAGGTGCTGTCAGCTAGTGTATGCTCTTTGCAGATGGTAGGCATATGTGTATCTCTACAGTTGATGTAACCTGAATTCTCAGCCCTGAACAGTGGGCTCAAGTATATCGGAGATGATGAGGATGGCACAGGGTAGGGCAAAGTGGTTGTTCCTAGTGTAGCTATGAGTTGTAGTCTCAGAGTAGACTTGGAGGGATACCTAACAACAATCTTCCATTGACTGTGACATCAGGTAGTGTCAGTCTGATTTTTATAGGGGAAATATCCTAACGTGGTAATAGTCTTGCTTACCAGGTTTCTATATTGTATGCGCCTTTTAAGAAAATTGCTTTACCGTACAATCGTGCATAGTAGTCTCAAAGCTGTTTTGCCCTTTCTGAGTGTTCCTAAAGGCCAGGTTCCTTTGAAACTGTCTGTTTCCAGTTAGCCTGGCATGTTGAGATGGCTCAGCACAGTTCAGATACTTGGATTTGCTGTGGAGCTAATCACATCTGTTTCTTGCAGCTACTTCATCTGTTCCTGTTCCAAAGACAACAGACGCTCCCTCCGCCCTTCCATCTGTGGCCTCCCTGCCCAACACCACCTCCTGTTCTACGCTTCTACCCCCTGCATCCCAGCACACTGCCACTTTGCCCTCCTTGTCCCAGCCCGGTGACCTTGTCAGCAGCCCCCTCGCACAGCTTAGCAGGTATGGAGAACATGTGGGTCCGTGGTGTGGAGGGGCATGGGCCAGGGTCCTGTAGAAGTAATCTTGTGAACAGTTCTGTTTGTTCCTGGCATGATATAGTGGACTTCTGCTTGGTTTTGACTGACTAGCGTCTCAGAACTGATAGATTTAAAAACCTTTCCAGTTTTTAATGGCTGCTGAGTTCCCTGGGAATGAAAAAGGGGTCAAGGAGTTTCTGCTACTCTTGCAGAATCCTCAGAAAAGTGCACTGAGCCCAGCTGTGCCTCCCAGCTCTGGGCCCATCACTGATGTGGAGTGAGCGAGGCGGGCTTTCTCCGCAGGTATCTTGTCTGACTTCAGAGGCTGAGTTATTCGGACAGGATATAGGAAAATGGATTTTGTTTGTTCCCCATGTCTTCTGAATAGAGCCTCTCCCACCCCACTTCAACCAGTCGTGTTGGCTTTGAATTCTGAATTTGATGAGAATTCAGGCTCTGACTCTGGTGTGTGGGATCACACAGAGGAATCGGCTTCCCTCACTGAGATGTAATGAGATACCCAGTTTGGCGTTATTCTTAGTTACTTTGTACATACTAGAGAGAAAGGGGTTACAGTTCGTTTCCTTCTCCATGGCCTATCAGATCCTCGTGAATGACCTTTAAAGCCATTTCTGACCACTGTGATCCCTCGCCATTAGCCGGGTCTGAGGGATTAGAGAATGGTGGGTGTGATGGCCTGTGGAGGAATGTGTCCAGGTGGCCATGGCTGTTCTGTTTTGTCTTGTAGTTCACTCTCCAGCCATCAAGACAGCCTCTCCTCCGCGCATGCAGCACTCACCTCGAGCACATCACACACAGTAAGTGAACTCTGGCCCCTTCCATGGCTCTGCTTGGCAAGCTTGGAGCTCACTATTAGCAGGTTGATGGAAAGTACCTGAAATGCTCTCTCTAGTTGCTTGCCTGTAGTGTCTTGATCTAGTTCTATGGTTAGAGCTATTCCTACAGTAAGTAACAGCCTTCCCTTGCTGGGCACATGTGTGCATACCTCTCCGTGGACTCCTTGCCACCTCTGATTTGTTGGTAATCATGGGAGCTTTCCTTCTTGTGGACATTAAGAATTCTGTATATTCTAGGGAGCTCTGGTGGCCTAGTGGCAAGAAGCTGCACTGCAATCCCAGAAGTACACAGTTTGAATCCATCAGATGCTCTACTGGAGAAGGAAGGGCAATCCCCTCCTGTACCAGTCAGATCCGATTTGATGGTTCACACACACAAAATAATAATTTAAAAAAAAAAGAAAAAGAATTCTGTATGTTCTTTTCCTCATGCCATCTGACACCTTCTAATGCCCTTTGCTCCAGCTAAGAGGCAGAGACTTGTCAAGGTCACCATTAAAGAAAGGATTGTTCAGAGCTAGGACCCTGAGAAAGCCAAGGGTGGGCTGGTAAGGAGCCGTACTGGGGGAGATTCAGAGTATCTGAGCTGAGCAGTATACTGGTGTGCTAGAGCGTAACTCTCAGCCATGCCTTACTGAAATGTGGTTAATTGAATAGTAAAGTTTCGAGAGCATGGTTTGAAGTGTCTGTGTCAGACCACATTGTGTGTTGAGGACTGGCAGTGAAGTGCAGAAGAGACTGGAAGAGGCTTGAGTGTTAAGAGTAGGTGGCAAGAGAGGCCTGGGGAAAAACCAGCCACAACTGTGCATATTCCTAAGAGAGCAACTGGAGGAGTCAGGCCAGGCTAGTGGGGTAGGACCTTATATAGGACTGAGTGAAGGAGACAAGCGACTGGAGAGGTTTATTTTTCCTGAGGGAATAGCATCATTTCTAGTGTGAGGTGGTAGAAAATAGGCTGTCTCATCTTTCTATTAGAATCTGGCCAATAGGACTTTGAAACTCAGTTTTTCAAGGTGAAATGTTGTACATAATCCTTCTCCCCAGTAGAGCCCAGCTGGATAATAAGAGCTTTTTGAGTAAATGTCCATCTGGCCCCCTGTGCCCTCTGGACTGTGAGCTTCCTAGGGTGCAGCAGCACCACCTCTGGGTCCTAGGGCCCTGTGGGGGGCCCAGCACTCTTGCACTAAGGAGGTAGACGGTCATGGAATCAGGATCTAACCTGTTTACTTCTCACCAGCCTTGAGCAAGGTCTCTGTCTTCACAGGCCTTTCCAAATGCTGTTGCCCAGGATTTTCATTTTTCCAGTGTGACAAGAATGACCTCTCACTGCAGGGTTGGGTGCGTGCTTACTTGTTTGGGGATGTTTCGTGCTTTCAGTGCAAGTTTACGCTGCACGTTCAGTTCCTATTGAACAACTCCTGCACTGTTTATTCAGTGACACTGGCTCTACTTCTCAGCAGATCAGCTTCTGTTCTGAGTGTTCACTTCTAGTAACTCATTTCTCTGTCCATTTGCTTCTTGTCTCTGCTTTTGGCGCCATTGGTGGTTTCTCTAATACCTGATTTTAAAATCAGCACAGTGCTCAGAGCTTATATTGTTTATGAGCCAGTGTGTTAGTTCACTAAAAAATGGACTTAGAATAGCTTTGGTTTTAGGTTTAAAGAGTGACTTTTCCAATCTCACCTGGTCTGATGAGTGTAGACTTAGTAGAGTTTACATCCTGGAGCATGTGTCCCTTCCTGTCAGTGGTCAGGGTTTGGAAGGTCATCTGCAGGTGGTAGCTGAGAGGTGTAGTTCTGCTTCTTGGGCCCACTCAGTTGACTGCATGGGCTCTGTAGGGTGAACTGAGTGACATTCTGTAAATGCAGGGGTGGCCTGTAACACCAGCAATCTGTTCTTAGAGTGAGGGCCTTGGTGGTACTCAGCTGTGTCCTGGTGTCTGGCTCGCCTGTGGTGTGAGGGGCCACAGTGAGCACTGGATCCAGGCTTTGCCCACACACCTGGCTTTTGTTTTAGCAGCACGCCAACGTGGAGAGCACCCCTTCCCTCCAGTCCTCAGCCACGTTCTCAGTAGCAGCAACCTCCGCCCCGAGTGCTGCATCGTCAGGGGCCAGCCTCCCCAGCAGCATGAACACGGCCAGCAGCCTCTGTCTGAGCGGGACCACAGTGAGTGCCCCCAGTGGCACCTCCAGAGCCCCGCCTTTGGTAACCTCAGGTATGTGCTCCTGAGACCTCTGCCCCCAGCTCTCCTCAGTGGTGCCCTCGCCTCTCAGGGCGACTTCCCCAGGTGGCCACCGGATGTGACGGGAAGCCCTTTGCATCAGCGTGGCTTCATTGACCCTGTTGGTGTGGGGGTGGGGGCTGTTCGATGCTGTCCAGCACTTAGGATGGGTAGAGTCTGAGATGCAGGATTCCTGGCTGTTTTTGTGCTCCTCACTCCTCAGTCTTCTTTCCCAGTTCTCCCTTGAGCTGAGATGATGTGCTACCTTGGAGGGGCCAAGCAACATCTTGTGCTGGTCCTAGCTGCTCTGTGACCATCACCTTGCAGACCTGGTGGGCTGGGCAGAGCAGACAGTTTAGGGACCACCTTGCCACAGCTTCTCTCCTGGTTCTTCCCCACCGGCCTCTTCAATCCCGTTTGAGGGCAGTTGTTGTCCTTTTCAGCTTTGCCCAGTGCACTGTCACCATTAGGATGGGAAAGTGGTGCAAGAAGGCCACCTCCCTTCATTAGATTTTTGTTTTTGCAGGCAAAGCGCCCCCCAACCTGCCCCAGGGTGTACCTCCTCTGTTGCACAACCAGTACCTCGTGGGCCCAGGAGGACTGCTTCCTGCCTATCCGGTGAGCGCACGGTGGAGCTCCTGGCTGGCCCCAGCCCCCCTGGCCTCAGGGGCTGGCACCTGGCAGGACCTGGTGAGGGGGGCCTTGGGTTGGGCTGGGGGTTGGGCTCAGCACCTGGGGCTGTTGCTCCTTCCCTGAGCCCCTTTTTTTCAGCTGTCTGTCCTCTAGTATGCCTCCTAACTAGACTCCACCAAGACAGTAGACACTCCAGGGCCCTTCCCTGGGTGTGTGCTTAGCCTGCGACATGTGATGGCTCCCCGATGGCCTGGCCTGGCCTGGCCTGGGGTCTGGGGCTGATGGTCTGTGGGTAGCAGCTCACCTGCTCCGATTCTTACACAGATTTATGGCTATGACGAGCTCCAGATGCTGCAGTCGCGCCTGCCCATGGTGAGTCAGTGTGGGATTGTCGGCGGGGCCAGGCAGGCACTTTCATGAGACCCTCTTCTTTTGGCCTAGACTCTCCCCCTCTTGGTCCTGAGGACATATTGTCCAAGCCCCTGTCGTCATTGCCACGAAATAGCATCTTTCATGGCTTGGCCTTGACTGTTCTTTGGGGGGGAAATAAAAAAAAGTAGTATGATGCAAGACACGGGATTGCTTCCCAGGCCTTAGGGATTCCTCCCCTGGAATTGGCCATTCACTCTCATTGGGCCCAGTGATGACAGCATCACTCCTCTGCTCCAGGTTGGACAAGGAGCCTGGCTTCCCGATATAGCATGGCTGTGGACATGGGCCACTGACAGGGGCATGGGAGCAGGCAGAGTCCTTGCAGGATGGTCGCTCCCTTCCAGGCCCTGCACTTCCCAGACTCCTGGTAACTTCTGGCAGCTCAGAACACCAGTCAGACTGTCTGGTATCCCCTTCACTAGATATGTGCTTTGGTCTCAGAAGATGATGCTACCTCCACAGGACATGGCACATGTCCTCCCTCCTCAAACATGGTTAGAGCCACCTCCTGACCTTGGTGCAGGACACCCCCTACATATTAGGGGAATGGGCAGAGGTCCTGATCACCCCAGGCTCAGAAAGACACCCTAAGCCATCTGGTCCAAGCTGGGCTTCACATTTCTACCAGTACTCCTCCTTTCTTCCCTGATTTTGTCTCTAAAGTCTTCTCTGAGCCAACCTTCTGAGGTGCTTGGTCTCTTTCTGGTCATCCATGTCCGAGTCTCTTGAGCTAGGTCTTTGCTGTGGGTATTTTTCTAGATTCTCCTCCTTCAGAGATTTCTCTTCATTAAATTTGTATTCCTAGCTCTTTGCTTTCTCCTGAGCCTCTCTGGGTTGAGGGCATGCTGTGGGTTTCCTGGAGGATATCTACAGATGTGATAGTATGATCAGCTCAGGGGAGGACTTGACTCAGCAGGCTCATCTGGAGTGACCCATCTTGTATGTAACCATTCACTGTTGACCAAGTGAACAGGAAGGTCTTCCTTTTGTTCAAAGGCTAGGATGGCTGATACTGAGCTGCCAGTCCCTGGGTGGTGAGAAAAAGAGAGGCCAGGCCTCCATGCGTCCATATTGTATACTTTTCAACTGATCCAGGGCAGAATGGATGGTGACCTTTCCCGTAGCATTCCTGTCTCCTTTTAAACCGTTAAAGCAGGTCTCGAGGAGGTTTATATTGTTGTTTTCTTAGCTGCTCTGTCGAGTTCCTTCAGGCAGGAAAAGCTGGGAAAGTTGGTTGGGCTGCAGTGCTTGGTGACACGCTCTGCGTGCTCCCCTCTGGAGAGGTGCGTGTGAGGGCCTGTGGCTTGGCTGGCCCTGGGCCTCCAATGCCTTAGAGGTCTGCTGATGTCAGCCTGCTCTTTCCTAGGATTACTATGGAATTCCCTTTGCTACGCCCGCAGCCCTTGCCAGCCGAGACGGGAGCCTAGCGAATAATCCATATTCAGGTTGGTTTGCTGAGTGGTGAGGAGATGGTGGGATCTAGCTGGACTGTCACTAATCACGAGTCTGGAAAGCTGAAGCACTCGCGGCCTTTGAGCTTCCCATCTTACAGCCGGCAGTGAGGCCTGTTTTTGGTTTCTGCAGCAGGTGGGGATTGCTCTTTGTTGGATAGACAAAGCCACGTTTCTCTTTGCTAGGTGACGTCACAAAGTTTGGCCGAGGTGATTCTGCGTCCCCTGCACCCCCCACCACATTGGCTCAGCCGCAGCAGAGCCAGCCTCAGAGCCACCACACAGCCCAGCAGCCCTTTCTGAACCCTGCGCTGCCCCCCGGCTACAGCTACACCGGCCTCCCCTACTACACAGGCGTGCCCAGTGCCTTCCCATATGGACCCACTATGTTTGTGAGTATTTGGGGGCTGTCATTTCTCCTTGTCCTGAGGTGCTAGAAAGTTGAAACCTGGGACATGTAGTTCAGCAGGACAAGCAGGGAAGGGGCAGGGTCATAACCCCAGAGTTTCAGGAAAGCTTAGGCTGGAACACCGATACTTGCCCAGTACTTGTTGCTCTGGTTTCATTGTGGTTGAGTTTGCCAGCTGCTGCCAACCACAGCCAGGGGCACCTGTCTGTCCTGTCTTCCTCCTGTTCTACACCTCACCTGCGTGCCCCCACCAGGTTCCTCCAGCCTCGGCCAAGCAGCACAGCGTGAACCTCAGCACCCCCACGACGCCTTTTCAGCAGGCTAGTGGCTATGGGCAGCACAGTTACAGTGCAGGTGAGTGAGGGACTGCAAAGGAGAGAGGGGGGAGGGTAGGACAGGCCTGCCTGGTTCACACGCCTCCTGTACCCTGCCATGCCAGGCTATGACGATCTGACCCAGGGCACAGCAGCAGGAGATTATACCAAGGGTGGATATAGTGGATCATCACAGGCACAAACCAAGTCTACAGGTTCTGGGCCTGGCAAAGGTAGGATCTGCCCTCCCTTTGTAGATGGAAGTCCCTAGTAGTTGCCTCTTACCCCAAGCCCCTCATGTGCAAGGCAGCCCAAGGGTGCCCATGGATGAGCAGGTGGCTGGACCTGGGCCAATTGCCATGGAAACAACTGATTTTTCTCCCAGGAGTATCCGTGTCTTCAAGTACCACCGGCCTACCAGACATGACTGGTTCTGTCTATAAGACCCAGGTGAGGGCAGGCACACAGGCAGGTTGGAGGCCCAGACCACCCTGAGCCCGACAGTATCGTCTCTACGCTTGAGCCTGACATTGTCTTCTCTATCCTCAGGCTTTTGACAAGCAGGGATTTCATGCAGGGACCCCTCCACCATTCAACCTGCCTTCAGCCTTGGGCTCCACTGGGCCTCTGGCCCCTGGTGCAGCTCCTGGGTACGCACCCCCACCATTCTTGCACATCCTGCCTGCACACCAGCAGCCACACTCCCAGCTGCTGCACCACCACGTTCCGCAGGATGCTCAGGTGAGCAGAGCAGTAAAGGCCGGGCACCTTGTGATGGGCTGTGCCACTGGCTGCTCCAAACTTAACCACCTTCTTTCTCCTTAGAGTGGCTCCGGTCAGCGCAACCAACCCAGCTCCCTGCAGCCCAAGTCTCAAGGCTCAAAACCTGCTTACAGCAACTCTCCTTACTGGACAAACTGAACCTTGAAGCAGGGTGGGCTGGGGTGGGCTTACCCCAGCAGGAGAAAACCACAGAGCCCGTAACTGGGAGGCCAGCACCCTTTCCTAGAATTCCTGAGACATGTAACTGTGTCAGCCGAGCCTTTGTGTGGAGCCCGCCTCCCAGACTCGCTGTTGTATGTAATGTATTTATGTATGTATTTGTAAATGTGATAGAAGTCTTGGGGTCGTAGGGGTGCAGGCTGCTCTTTGCCAAGCCTGCTATTCCTCCTCAAGCCCCTTCTTGCTGTAGCAAAGTCAGCCCCCTCCCTTCTGCGCCAGGCCTTCCACAGCCACTGCTCACCCCGCTGCGAGGGCATCCTTGGGAAGGGCAAACTCAAGGCAGTTTCAGGGTTGGGGGTCAGGTACCAATGAAGAAATCACGACTTATCTTGCTCCCTTGTAAACACTGAGGTTTTAACGCCTGTTTAATTACCATCCCACTCTTATATTTCGAGGGAGAAATTGCCCCTTTTGTCATTTGTCATGTTCTCCTTCCTGCCAAGTCTCGATCTGGGAATAGTAATAACCCCCAGCCCCGTGTAAAACTGGGCACCTGTCTGGTCTGACCTGAGACTTGCCTTCCTCTGGCTGACCATCTGAAAATGATCTGAACTTAGACCAGATGCTTAAGTCAGCTCCTGTAAAAGCAAAGAAAATCAAAGGTCTGCTTTCACCTCAGTGAGAGCATGTTTCCACAAGGCTCCTCTTCCAGTTGTCCTGAACCAGGTGGGCGACTGTTTCAGGGGTTTTCTCTCTTGCCCAAATGCCACCTAATAAAATTCTGAGAGCATGCACTGTGTGTGGTGATTGGGGACACAGGACCTGGGTGGTTTAATGCATTCCACGTCCTACCGCTCATAGAGCCAACGCCTGGGCGGTTTTCTCTACTGAGCTCTTCTCAGTAACATATAGGGAGTGAAACTGGTTGTTACCAGGGTGAGCTCTTCAAAGTTGTTCTTGTGATCCCTTCAGATTTGTGGAAAGGACAATCCTGTACCAGGACACGGTAATTAAATCTCAACTAAGCACAGCCAAGAATTTTGAGAATAGGCCCAAAAGAGAAGAACAAGCTGATAAACCTCTCTATCCTTTGCTCATTATCACCCACACTATCTTGACAATCAAAAGCTGTGGTGGGAATATGCACTTCTGGGTGGCATGAAGTTGGCAAGTGGGTTTTGAGGTAAAATGTCTTTGAAAAGCCCCAACCTTTCACGGAAGGCCAGGATTCTACAACTTCCGGGCTTGACATCATGCTTCCAGGTCTCCGTAGAGGCAGGGCACAAACTAAGCCTTTCTTGCCAGCAGGAGGCAGAGCTCCCCACCCGCTGTGGTGCGCCAATGTGGTAAGCTGCTCAGGCTCAAATGTGATGGTCTGATTTCAGTGCTCTGTAACCACTTCATTCCAGGCTAAGTGAACAAAGAGATACGCACCCCGTCCAGTCCAGAACCAGCTCAGGTCAAAGGTTTACCTTATCTTGTGGTGGTTTCATTGATGGGATACCTAACAGCTATGAACATGGAAAAAACGGGAAGTGTTCTCAGTGGACACTGAAGACTATTGAACAGTGCAACATCTCTTACCTGACCCAAGAAGTCTGGAAGACAAATGACAAGGAAAACAAAATGCTTCCCTCAGGAGGGCAGCAGAACACCCCCTCCCATCAGTGAGCCCACAGTGGCAGACTGCCATGTTTTAAAGCTGTTTTTAAAATGGCTGGGCTATTTTCCATCTAAGAAAGCTGATCTGTCTTATAATGTTATAAAGACAGATCAGTGAGCTGATTCCCCCCCCCCCGCCGCCCCAAGTGAATCGTAAGTGTAACCTGAAAGGTAACAGCAGATACTCAGACCACCTTTAGTTTTTTTAACAAAAGAAAAAGGAGCATCATCCCATGGGGAAATAGCAATACAGGTATATTTTATTTCACATTTTATTAGTAGACAGATGGGCAGAAAGACAAAATAAAGCACTAAAAGGGAAGTCAACACAAAAACCATCAGATAATCCTTTCTCATAAATTAAACTCAAAAACATCTACAATCTCTAACAAAGAAAACTATTAAAAGTCAGGTGTGTCCTTGCTGGTTTCAGAATAGTTGAAAATTGCATCTGAATCTCTTTAAATGTAAACCTTGTAGACCAGGACTGGAGGGGTGGAAAGTTCATTTGCAGTGCGGAGCTACACACTTTACCCTTCACTCTCTTCCTGTATCCCAGACAAAAGGAAGCCAGCAAGTAAAGAAGCAAATAATTACCAGGAAAGTGGGAACAAAGGTACTACAAAAAGGCTTGGCTAATAGAAAAGAACTCTGGAATGATAGGAAATACAAAGTGGAGGGATGTGGATACTGTGAGAAGCAACAATGGAATCACAATGGTGCACTTGTCTTAACCCAGCCTCAGAGTATAAAGAACTGGAGCATCCATTGAGGCCGCACTAAATCCAAGGCAGTCTATTAAAGCAGCAGGATCTTGAGTTCACGACACATCAAATAATTAGCATAACCTTACCACAATGCCTGAGCCCAAGACCTCCAATCCCTCTAAAAATGAAAAACCCCTCAAATTATTTCTCCCACAGGATGTATTCTCAAGGACAGAGCTCCTGAATAAGTATCTGGGTATTAGAAGTCAGGCTACAAATAGTTCCAGACACCCTAGGTGTTTTTGGGACTTACTGTACTGTTACCAGAGGCAAACCCAGCCCACAATAGTAACACCCCAAAGGGCTGAGAGCTATCTCCTCCACCTGGCTCTCTGGCTCCCTGAGTCAATGTGCAACAAGCCAGTTAAGACCTAATGGACAGACAGCAGCACAGCACAGCACCACCCACGAGACCTGGAAAAGGCTTCAGCAGTGAGGGGAGAGAAAGGCAGGCTTAATGTTAAGCTCCAAGAGTTCAGACCACACAAAAGGGACAAGGAAGGTGATGTCGGAGAGCTTCTGAAGAGACTGGTCCAGAAGATGCAGGTTATCTGGATGCCATCACTTAAATAAAAACAGTAATAAAAAGCTGTTTCTGAAATTCTTCCATGAGGCTGCAGTCAGACGACTTAAGGGTCGTGTGTCTTAAAGAGCTCCTTTGTTTCCTTAAAAATGACGAATCACTAGATTGAGACACAACCCTGGCCCTATGAGGATTAGACATAACAGAACCAGGCTCAATGCTCCATGTGAGCTGATTACCATTAATTAATATTCAACCAAACTTGAGGCCAAGAGGGGGCTGTTGGGGAATAGTCAGCAAATGTTTAAAGAATGAAAACCCTGAGATCAGAAAGGAGGCGCCTTCTAGAATCTACCCACTGCACCCCCCATCTGTAATCAGCCCTTTGGTTCTTTCTGAGCTACAGTCAGCAAAAGGAGTTGACACTAGTCAGATTTTGCTCTATTTCCTTCTGGAATCTGATTTCATATTTTAGATGTTTCCTCACTGACAGACTCCTGGCCTCCCTTACCCTCATAAGAAGTATTTAAGAAAAAAAAAAGTCCTCAAGTTCTGAAGTCCTTGTAGGTGACAGCTGCTGGGGTCTCAGCACAGATTGAGACTGGCAATCAAAGCTGCAGAACTGCACAGCGTCAACCCTGCCGAAGGAGAAAGCAGCTGAGCAAGCTCAATGCGTATCACCTGCTTGCACTCCACAGCCAAAGCTCAATGAAGGAAGTCCAGGTCACAGCCAATGAAGAAAGCAGGGCAGGTCATTCATGTCTCACATACTTTCACATTTATCACTACTGGTAGAAGAAACGCAATGAAAATCAAAATCTTAACACATGCACCTAAGAGTAATACTGAGTAAATGAAACTGGCTCCCTGGGGGGGGGGG